CTCCATTGTGGTGCCACCCTAACCCCGGGGGTCATGATTTGAATAATTTAGAATATACACTACCCCAGGATGTTTCCACATAGGTTTCAGCTTTTCTGACCCATTGGTTCTTGAGAAGAAGATTTTTAAAGATTTTTCCTATATATTTCTATGTAAAACTTTGATTCCCCATTGTGGCCCACCCTACCCCTGGCAGGGGTTCAAAATTTTTTTTGTCATGGTCAAGTCCAGGACTTAAAGAGTAAATTTTAGGCAAGTCCGAGGAAGAAATTTCAGAGTCCATATTTACCTATACATCATTAAATTTATGTTACTTATAATTTATTTTCATTTGTTGCATTGAATGAATAAAGACTATATGTATTAATATGTTTTATTTTTCCTCCATAAACTGTCTTATAGTCATGAGTATTTCAACACAATACCAGACTGATAGATTATTGGTACAATACAATAACTTTTACAAATACTCACTACTGATTAACCATCTGTTACAATAAATAGAAATTAGAATGTGCATTACTGCTGGTAAAACCAAAATTTAACAAACTCATTGCCGTTTGTCATATAGGAGGAAACATGAAGAATTGCGCAAAAGCAAGAGTCTAACCGCAACGGAAATTAAAAAGACGGATTGTATTTTCGAAACGTTCGTTATGTTTTATGGGTATTTTAACGCCCACAAACCCACATTTTTACTTAATACATTTGAGAATTTGCTTTATTTTTAGCTTTACAATCATTTTTTTAACTTAAAAAAAAAGATAAACAAGAAACATAGCCAAGTCCCGGGACTTTGGCGAATTCTAAATGCCGAGTCCGGATCCGGAATTTGTTAGTCCGGGACGTCGGGCTTGAGGAATTTTGAACCCCTGCCCTGGGGGTCATGATTTTAACAATTTAGAATCTACACTACCCCAGGATGCTTCCACATAAGTTTCAGCTTTTCTGGCCCAGTGGTTCTTGAGAAGAAGATTTTTAAAGATTTTTCTCATATATTTCTATGTAAAACTTTGATTCCCCAATGTGGCCCCGCCCTATCCCCGGGGGTCATGATTTCAACAATTTAGAATCTACACTACCCAAGGATTCTTCCACATAAGTTTCAGCTTTTCTGGCCCAGTGGTTCTTGAGAAGAAGATTTTTAAAGATTTTTCCTATATATTTCTATGTAAAACTTTGATTCCCCATTGTGGCCCTGCCCTATCCCCGGGGGTCATAATTTTAACAATTTAGAATATACACTACCCCAGGATGCTTCCACATAAGTTTCAGCTTTTCTGGCCCAGTGGTTCTTGAGAAGAGGATTTTTTAATGACCCCACCCTTTTTTTGTCTTTTCTTGATTATCTCCCCTTGTGAGGGGACTTGGCCCTTCATTTTAACAATTTAAATTTCCTTTCACTCAAGGATGCTTTGTACCAAGTGTGGTCAAAGTTGGCCCAGTGGTTCTTGAGAAGAAGTCAAAAATGTGAAAAGTTTACAGACGGACAGACAGATGGACGGACGGACGACGGACAAAATGTGATCAGAAAAGCTCACTTGAGCCTTCGGCTCAGGTAAGCTAATTATGTGTGATGATGAAATTATTATCAATCTTTATAAGTTTGATTCCTCAGAAATCAATAAATTGTAGTGCAACTTCAATGTCAATCTTGCCCACTAATTTTCAGATTTGTCTGAAAAAATTGATTTCTGAACGTTTTTGTGTACTTGAAATATCAAATTCTATTAAAATAATTATTTTCTACACCTTCACATTAACAAATATTTGTAAAATGGAAGGTACCTTCTGGATTTCTGAGAAACAGGGAACAAAATCGGTACTGCGCGGTCCCAAACTTTACAAAATTTTCGTATCTTATTTTAAAGTTTATCTAACATATAGATCATTAAAATTTTCTAAACTTTTAAGAAATGGTTAGTTTATAGATTGAATTTACTGTATAAGGAAATATAATTGCGTATCGAATGAGTTTTATGCTAAAAAAAAAACATTGTATGTACTAGTCCGCCATTTTGAATTTTGGTGGGACTTTCTGAGATTCTTTTGTTTGTTTACACAGGTAAATCACATGATTTCTAATTGTAGTACAAGTATTAGCTTTCCTAAAAAGCTCGTCTGACGTGATTTGCTTAAATTTAAAAAGCGGAAAGAAATACATGTAATATTAAGTTATATAATTTCTTTCGTTCGATAATATATCTTCAAGAGACCATGCGAAATCAATATTGTATACAATAATGTACAAAGAACTTTAAATTGAAGCTCCTGGCTCCAGGATCATGAAACAAACTATAAGACTTAAGTGACATTTTTAATCGCCGATAAAATATTTACTAATTATGGAATTTATTTCTTCATTTGCACATAATAACATCTCTGTGAAACAATATTAAAAATATCCCTAACCCTAACCCTTCTGATCTGCTTGACTTTTACAACATTTTATTAAACCAGAAGTCTCTGTCGAGACTGTAGCTCTACTGGTTTATACTTAAAACAAAGGAAGAGAAAAGTAGCAGTTGTGACTTGAGACTTCAAAACAGGAATCAATAGAAAAATGATCCTTGACACTCAACAAAATAAAAACTGATGCACAGAATTATGTATCTTAGTGTAGTCTACTTGTGTGCCAAGTTATATTAAAATCGGACCAAAACTAAGGAGGAGTAGCATTTGAAAGAATTTCACAGAAATTTCTATTTTTATCAACCATGGCAACACTGTTCAACAAAATCAAAAACCGATGCACAGAATTATGTATCTTAGTGTAGTCTACTTGTGTGCAACATTATATTGAAATCAGAACAAAACTGGTGGACGAGTAGTATTTAAAATAAAATTTCACAGAAATATCTATTTTTATCAACCATGGCAACACCGCTCATCGAAATCAAAAACCGATGCATAGAATTATGTATCTTAGTGTAGTCTACTTGTGTGCCAAGTTATATTGAAATCGAACCAAAACTGTAAGAATAGTAGCATTTTGAAAGAAGTTCACAGAAATTTCTATTTTTAGTAACCATGGCAACACCATACATCGAAATCAAAAACCGATGCACAGAATTATGTATCTTAGTGTAGTCTACTTGTGTGCCAAGTTATATTGAAATCGGACCAAACCTCTAATAGGAGTAGCATTTTGAAAAATTGTTCACAGACAGACAGATAGACAGACGGACGGACGACGGACGCATTACTATCGCATAAGCTCTTCTGGTCTCTGACCAGTAGAGCTTAAAAAAATAAAGATTTTGATCGACTTAGGCTTAAGATGTTTCAAGATCCTGGGTCAGCATTTTTCAAGTAATGTTTTAATGTTAAATGACCTGACTGACTTTTTATTCAACAAACAGAATAAAATGAAGGTTATAAATGATGAATCTTTGATCACTTAATGGGCGCCTATAACCCTAACCCTAACCCTAACCCTGGCGATAACAATCTTGGCAGAGCATTACACATGCTGACCATTCCCCTGCTGTTCTTGAAAGTTTTCATTAAAGCGAACTTGAATAAGACATTCTTCTGTTTTCACTGCATTTTTCTCAGGCACTGTATTATCAGTTTTTACAATACTTGGAGCAGGGCAACTAAGAGAAAATATTTGACCACGTGCCTGATTTTTAGGTTCTAGTAATTCAATGTCAAGGTATAATTTTACTGAAAATAAGCAATCAATTATTTAACCATAGCATGTAAAATGATTAATCTTTGATACACAACACAAAACAGTGAGATTTATATAATAAGTAATTTTTTATAAAGAACTGAAGCGGACATGAAAGATGAAAGCCCGGATTATACTAAAGACAAGATCATTCAGTAATGTAAATAAAAGCTCATTTATTCCTGGGACGAACTACATGCGTCTTTGGAGATTATGCATGTATCGAAATTTCCACCATCGATCTATCTAATCAATTTCATGGAACGACTGCATAAATACGCCCTGGTTAAATCTAGTTCTGTCTGACGTCGTGACGTCAGACAATGATGCAGTCATCTATTGTCAACCTGCAGGTGGCCATCTGTGCTCTGATAACTTGTAAACAAGCGGTAATTTCAAGTCAAATAAACAATGAAATACATGTGCATCAAAAGTCGCCATTACGGGTTGGGGACTAGGCATCAAAAGTCATCATTAAAGGGTAAAGGATGGAAAGGTCTAAGGGGAATAGAGTTAAAGGTCATTTCAGTAAAAATTAATACAACACTGTAATGGATCCACTGAAGTTTAAAATAAAACAAGACCCCCATGGGTAACATCCCTCATCTGAGTAACTTTGGCCATTCTCTTCTTTACCAGATTTCCCCTCTTGTAATACCTAATGTGACCCAACCTTATCCCGAAGGGTCATGATTTGAACAATTTAAAATCTACATTGCCCCAGAATACTTCCACTTAAGTTTCACTTTTCTTAGCCTGTGATTTTCATGAGAAGAAGATTTTGTAAGTTTTTCCTATATATTTCTATGCAAAACTTGGGTTCCCTATCGTGGTCCCGCCCTACCCCCGGGGGTCATGATTTGAACAAACTTGAGTCTACACTACCTGAGGATACTTCCATACTTTCCTGGCCCAATGGTTCTTAAGAAGAAGATTTTTAAATGATGCCAATAATTTTTCATAATTATCTCCCCTTGGAAGAAGTCTTGGCCCTTTATTTGAACAAACTTGAATCCCTTTCACCAAAGGATACTTTGTTGCAAGTTTGGTTGAAATTAGCCCAGTGGTTCTTGAGAAGACGATAAAAATGTGGAAAGTTAACAACGGCAATGACAGAGAACGGACAAATTTTGATCAAAAAGCTCACTTGAGCCTTCGGCTCAGGTGAGCTAAAAATTAATTCCCCATTTTGCCATTTCAAATTTTTTTTTTAATATTATTGACTATGAAACCATAACAAAATAGGGATATCTCGAAGGCACATGAAAGAAGATTTTGATGTGGCATTCCTCCTTACTTCATACAAAATTCTGCATGTGCTTACTTCTTGAGAGTATTCTGGTCTAGAGATTCCTTTCCATATAACCTCCTGTCCTGGGATTTCAAGGTCATATGTGGAGGGAGATTTACCTGAAATATTGTGGTCTGAAGTTTGCGTACTTGTACTGGCACCATTTAAGTGCTAAAAAAGAGAAGAAAAATATATGTATTCATATTATAATGGCTCCATTTATATGCACTAGGAAATGACTCTGATCAAAAAGCCCCAATACATCTGACATAGGAAAGTGAAAGATTTAAATGTACCAAATAAGGAAGGTGACCTGCAAAGTTCACTCTTATACTGTATATCAGTTTTTTTTCACACATATTCAATTTCTGCTAAGTTAATAATTGAAAAGATAGATTTGTAAAGGAAAAAATTCATAAGGGTATAACAAATTTCATAGAGTTGCTCAATGTCCAAATCACGTCTGTTCTTTATATAATTATAATTCATTCTTCAGCTATTATAATCATAAAATTATAAATTAAATTTTGTTATACCTTCAAGCATCTGTTCCTACACAATTCTACACAAAAAAGTGTTTTACTTAGTGGTTATTAAAAAATCAATGTTTAAGGAAAGGATTGCAAGGGTCCGCGAAAAAATTTCGCCCAATGAATTTTTCTCATTTTTACATATAATGTGCCTTATGTCAATGATACCATTATATCAAACTATCAACCATGGTCATTGGGGTTATAAGGAAATTATGGTTGCCATGGTAACCACCATTTTTTAATTTTTTGATATTTATGAGGTGAATGTTTTATTATCCCATACATGCAACAAAATAATGAATTAAATAATTTCCTGCAGAAATTTAATAATAAGCTTTATATTTATTGAAAATAAAAATTGTTTCGGAAACTATTGATAGATGTAGTAATGCCATTGTTTTTTGGGGAAGTACTGTATACAGGGAAATTTTCGCCCCCGTTTTATTTTCGCCCCTTTCGCCCTCTTCTTGATTGGGTGAATTTAAAACGGTGCGAATTCAAATTACACATCATAATTTCTTAAACAAAACTATGATTGGGCGAATTTAAAACGGGGCAAAATAGTTACTAAGTGCAAAAGGGCGAAAATAACACGGGGCGAAAATAACCCTGTATACAGTATTAATTGTAAATTTGCAGTAATATTTTAACCCCAAAAGCAGTTTCTAACATCTTAGACAAAAAATTACCCAATTAATTTTCCCAAAATTAATATGTGCTGTACAAGTCATTATAAGTGACTTATAGTTAAAATATGAAGTAGGGTAATCAGATTCATTTTGAAGTTACACGCATTTCAGTACACCCCCCCTTCCTAGAATTAAAAGATTTCACAGATTTTCGTATGATGGTTTGTTGTTGGACCTTATATATACATAATCTGTTTAAAGACAATGAAGGCCACATGTATAGATAAATAAATACTTTTTCTCTGAAAATCTTGCAGCTGGTGCTCATTTTATATGTGAAGCATAATGATTTACTTATCACCAACAGCGGTCACAAAAATAACTTTCATTTTTTACAAACTCAGTTTCTCATCTCCAAAACATTCATTTTGTTACTATAATATCAGTATAAATACATAATATTTTCTAAACCAGTGCACAGTCCTCAAAGGCTGAATCCCTCATGCTTTGAACATTCAGCGATGCATCCTCTTAGTGACCTGAATCGGGGGGGGGGGGGGGGGGGTTAAGGGGGAGTCAGACATTTGAACACATTGAATGAAAAGAAGTTATTTCACAGAACTTGTATCTGCATTATATTTTTTGAAATAAATATCTTTATCCATGAATAATCTTATTTGGCATATTATAGTAATTAATTTTAAATATTAACATTTACAAATATCAAATATTTTCCTTCCGATTCTTTGCAAGTGAAAGAATACTTCATTTTCTCCTGTACACAGATGAGCACTTTCTCCATTGTGAGGTCATAATGACACACTTGACGTCAAAACTACAGATTTATAAACTCTCTAATTTGACATGCAATTTTCTGTTATCGAAATTCTCCTTGACCAGTGCTTGATAATTATACCCTTGGGAGAGGTAGATTATCTCTTATAAAATAACATTTGTTATGGATTACTGTAAGTATATAATGAAAAAAATATTATTTTCTTAAGTAAACATTTTTTTTTAAATAGGGATACAGCAACACTCTTACAGTTTTGGGGATTGTGTAATTCAATAGTAAAAGACATCTTTTTAAAAAAATTAACTTAAATTAAGGGGGGACCTATGTCGTTCTACATCAAAGCAGCCTTATGTGACGTCACAATAGCGACATTTGTTTTTACCTGTTGACTTTTAACTGTGATATAGGCATAATATTACTAATAATGAGTAACATACACAATTTACAAAAAGAAAATTTATTCATCATTTTAATTTGATTTATGGAGTTTGTTAATATTAGAATTCTCTTCAATGGTTGATTATCCATAGCAATTTCAGTTGTGAAGAAATACCTCGATAATATTCTGATATATAAGTGCAAAAAGATATTATAAAATTCAGCAAAGAAATCGGCTTAAATCAGGGAAATATGTTTAATTTTATGTTTACCATTATGTTTACCATTAATTGTATTTTCTGGATAAAACTAAGAAAAAAATTAAGAAATCTACTTGTACCTATATTTGCTTATTGATCCATAGTACATGTAGATTTAATTGTACAAAGTCATTCCTAGGTTCTTGGTTGTTGACGTGGAAATGGGGGGGGGGGGAGCAGAATGATTGGAATGAAGAAGAAAAGAATTAACATGTTTATATTGTTTCTAATCAAAACAAAATACTCGTTTTTCGCAAAATAGTTTTATATTCAGATGTTTGTCAGTGCTTACTTACCTTTTTTTAGTGCTGAAAGGTCAATATTTATGACACAACAGTACGAAAATAAAAGAAAACGTCATATTTCTCGTTTATTTGACCATAAAGGTATACTTTTTTTTTGTTAAAATAAAGAGATGGATCATTTCTTTCAAAAAATATGAATAACAACATTTTCACACAAACTTTTTGATATATTACCTGTTTTTCATGTCAGATTGTAAAAAATACGACAAGAAAAACGGGGTGATACTTACATTACACTCTATTATAATTTTTCCTGTGAGATGAATTATAATGAATTTGCCTTTATTTTAAAAATACAAGTCATATAAATTCAATACCTGTTAATTTTGAATGTGTTTTGTCATTTTTGGTTCTTTCTTAGTGCATATTTGGGGTAAAACAATAGTGTCTGAAAATGATCTATTTTTAGCATTTCACCCTGTTTTTGCACGCGCTCCTGTGTAAAAATAAGCATATAAAGGTATTGTTTTTAATACCTAAAAATTAAAAGCAAGTGGTCAGGAAAGAAATGTCAAAATTTTGAAAATTTCACACAAAGACTTTTTGGACATAGGTCCCCCCTTAAACGTCACAGTGACCTTGAAATAGGTTGTGACATGTGTACACCTTCTACCCAAGATGCATAAATTGGCCAAGTTTGATGATTGTAAGTCTAATAGTTTTCTAGTTATGAGCCAAACAAAACCACAAAATAAAAAAGAAAAATGCCTGTAAAATGCATAAAAATCATCCAATCATGCTGAAAATACCAGGTGCATACCTTCATATGGTGAATAATAGGTGTACAAATTTTCAGACAAATCCTTCCAATAGTTTCTGAGAAACGGTCCGGACAAAGTCTTGTCTACAGACGGACGGACAGACAGTAGGACATGCTGATTCCAATATACCTCCCTAAACTTTGTTTGCGGGGGTATAATGAATTTCTAATTTTAAAATGAGGACATAAACCTCAATATATAAAATTTATTTTTAATGAAATAGATTTCAATGTTCAAAGATACACAATAGCTAGACATGTCAAATCATAAAACACATTAACGTAGATAAAAATATGGTCAACGCTTAACACTCTCAGTTTATCGTAACAACCTTTAATATTTTATTCTTTCTCTACTTTAGAAAAACAAAACGCTTTAAAATTGTCATGAGTGCACACATATCACGCTTCTTATTCCAGAAATAGTTACAGCAAACATTCTTTTTTTATTTACCAAATGACGTGATCGTGTGACGCCATGCAATCGCGTACTTAACTGCTGATGGAGTGAGATGTTAGACCTGTCGATAAGATGTTAAACCATTTACATCACACAATGGATGGGGTATTTGAAGCTAAATCTCATTTGCATTTGTTGGTGTGGAATTTAACTGTGCTGATTAAGAAATTAATGGGGGAAAGCACAAACTGCATGCAAGTCAAAAAATTTTTAATTAAAAAAATATTTAACATTCATATAAGGCCATAATAAATAAATTGCAAGATTCTCATCAGAATTTTTTTTTTAATTTGAGGCGGGCGGGCGGGTTTTATTTTATATTTTTTATTTTTTCAATTTTGCAGATTTTTTATTCACCTGGTCAATCGGTGTAATTTTATCTACAATACCCAAATAAAGGAGGCTGAGGAGCTTCACTCATTGTTCATTCACCATAGAAAAGAATCAAATATATAACACTTAATATCTTTAAATATACAGACTTTTACAAGATAAGCTTCGTTTTTGTTTCTAGAAATATTTTTATCTACAAAAATAATATATTTTCGTGTTGTTAAACTAGTAAATCGATGACCTAGCATCGTTTTAGATAACTCAAGCCCCTCTAGGCCTTGATTAAAAATCAAGGCGGGGGTATAAAATCGGAGCGGGCGGGGATGAGAATCTAGGAATAATTTTATTATGGCCTTATAGTATATTAAAAAGAAGCATCTTAATGTGGATCAAAAACACACAATAAACATAAACTTAAAAGAACAAGGTTCACTTTTGCTTTATTTGGCCTTGTGAATTTCTGAAAAACTGAAACTGCATAGTTTTAGTTACAATGCATTAGATATCACTTAGATCTTTGGTGACTGCGTATCTATCAAAAATGACGTCATTTTCTGGCTAGTCAATCCATTATGACGTCACGAAATGCGTCAATTTCCTCATATTCTGATAAAGTCTACAAAAACAGCCAATTTTTAAAGCTATTTCTTGATAATTGACATAGAGCGCAACCTCTGATCTAAAATATACAACTAATAAATGATAGAACTG